CCAATTTTATAATGATTACCTCCTCTTTTCGTAAATCTTCTGTTCTCATCATTTTTTTCACTGTTAATCCTAGCTTGTTGAGAATTTTAGTTGAATGGCTTCTGGCAGGTGCTGAAAGATCCCAGATGGGGAAGATCTTATGAGAGCTTCAGTGAAGACACTGATGTAGTTAGAAAGATGACTGCTGTAATAACAGGTTTGCAGGGCCAGCCACCCCAAGGGCACCCAAAGGGCTATCCTTTCGTAGCTGGAAGGTAAAGCTAGACCTTATCTGGTATCTGAACCTTTCCAGTTTACATGATGATCTACCTATGTCATATCAGTTTGGAAAGGCAATATAGACCTTTTATAGATGCTTTTTTGTAATTCCTCATTTTTGATTGGCTCGTGATAGCATTCTAAGATTTTGCTTAAAATGTGGAAGTTGAGGGATGAGGTGTCGTTCGTCTAAACTTTACTGAGTTGAAGTATGTCTGCCAGTATGCTGTATGCCGCTTTAACTATTGTGTATTCTTAAGCATGTGGAGGAGTGGTGTTAAGCACTAAATATTTCATGTGCTTTTCTCTCTCAACCACCTTTTCTCGTCCCAGCCATAATTTCCTGTAGTTATTATTGTCAATATGCTCTTTAGTTCTCTCACTTCTTAGTCTCTCAAAACTTACTATATCTCTAAATCTGAACAAAGTCATCATCTCTTGCTTATTTGACACTAGAAACAATGTTATTGCTTGTGCCAAGCATTTTGTTGGAGATGGAGGAACTGAAAGAGGTGTAAATGAGGGGAACACTGTAACATCTTACGATGATCTAGAAAGGATACATATGGCTCCCTATCTGGATTGTATCTCCCAAGGTGTTTCCACAGTCATGGCATCCTACTCTAGCTGGAATGGGCGCAGGCTGCATTCTGACCATTTTCTCCTGACGGAGGTTTTGAAAAATAAGTTAGGTTTTAAGGTGAGCAATTCCTGTAAATCATCTACTGAAATTTTTTCAATTTGATGGCTAAGCTTGTCAATCAACACAAATAAATCGGAAGATTGTATGTGGCTGGATTCTGTTGGAACAATATGGCAATTCCTCTATTTTCTTTTACCACATTGAGATTCATAAATGTTGTCACTCAACTGACACAACGGAAATGTTGATGCAGGGTTTTGTCATTTCAGACTGGCAAGCACTTGACCGACTTAGTCAACCCAAAGGCTCAAACTACCGTCATTGTATTTCTCTCGCAGTTAATGCTGGCATTGACGTGGTAAAGACCGATTAGTAACTATGATACTTCTTTAGTGAGACCCATAATGCCGGATTTATATGCTAACTCGTACATCCTTTTTTCTTTCAGATTATGGTGCCATTTAGATATGAACAATTTGCAGAGGATTTGATAGCGTTGGCTGAATCAGGGGTAGTACCATTGTCGAGAATAGATGATGCTGTTCAACGGATACTGAGAGTCAAGTTTGTATCTGGTCTATTTGAGCATCCTTTTTCTGATAGATCATTGCTCCAGATTGTTGGTTGCAAGGTAAACTTGGGAGGAGTTTTCAAGTTAGACAAATACTTTAGCTGTCACGAAATATGGAGATGTGTTCAACTGTCTCATCAAGGCCAAGTTTTGGGCACTTTAGTATAGTTCACATACTTTACAACAGCTGCATATTAAATGAAATTCTAGGACACTTCCTCAAAATGGATCCTTTTGCTTTTTAAGATTTCCGATGATATATTAAAAACTGTTCAGCCTGGATGTATTAATAAGGATATGTTACTTTGGCCTGGACAAACAGTCTAACCTTAATCGTCTTTTGGCAGTCGCATAGAGAATTAGCGCGTGAAGCAGTTAGAAAGTCATTGGTATTGTTAAAGAATGGGAAGGATCCTAAGAAACCCTTTCTCCCATTAGATAAAAATGCCAAGAAAATTCTTGTTGCGGGAAGCCATGCTGATGATTTAGGTTATCAATGCGGAGGGTGGACCGCCACTTGGCATGGAAGCAGTGGCAGGATCACAATCGGTATGCATCCTTACCTTTATTAAAATTGCACTCCATATTTGCTTTGAGTGAAAGAGATTTACTTTGGCATTGGGTGAAATGGGATGCATGATACATGGAAACAGGAGTACATATAGTCTCTAAATATCAACAGACTTGTGTATGAGAACAGAACTCGTGATACTCTTCAGTATCTTTACTGCATTCAAGCTTTCTTTTCTTCACAATGTTGAGCTCTCTTTAGGTTTTAGTGATACGATATGCTATTTTGGCTCTCTTTAGGTCCTAGCTGTATATTGAATCCACTTTTAGCTTTATGCTTGAGAAGCATGAGGAAGATATAAATCACTAATTGTGTAGAGCTGTGTCCTAAAAATTTTGAACCTGCCAACTGTATTTCAGACATCTATTGTTCATAATGCCTTCATTCAAAGTGATGTTACAATTATTACTGGTGAACATGAAACATTTTCTTTTTGTAGGCACGACTATCTTAGATGCAATCAAGGAAGCAGTTGGAGTCAATACAGAAGTGATTTACGAGCAAAATCCATCTCCTTCCACATTAGCAAGTCATGATTTCAGTTTCGCTATTGTTGCTGTTGGTGAAGTTCCTTATGCAGAAAATCTTGGCGATAACGCTGAACTTGTGATCCCATTCAATGGGATGGATGTGATAAAGTCAGTCGCCGAGAGAATACCTACCCTCGTACTTGTCATCTCTGGAAGACCCCTGGTCATAGAACCGCAGGTCTTGGAGAAGATAGATGCTCTTGTCGCCGCCTGGTTACCTGGAACCGAGGGTACGGGCATCACAGACGTGGTCTTCGGCAACTATGATTTCGAAGGTCAATTGCCTGTCTCATGGTTTAGAACGACTGAACAACTGCCCATGGATGCTAAAGCTAACTCTTATGATCCTTTGTTCCCCTTGGGTTTCGGATTGAAATGCAAGAAAGAAGACTGATGACGTGGCAATCCGACGAGCAATGCGGAAGTTAATGACCGGGGGAGAAGTAGCTGGTCCGGTCGAAAAATGCCCTCTGAACTAGATACTAGTGCGCACTTGCATGAATAATTGCTTCAGATCCAATGCCCCCTAAATTCCTGTTGAAATTCAGGAAGCGTCAAAGCGGAAAGGGGAATTGTATAATTTGTATGCTCTTTTTCCAGAACTGCGAATTCCTTATGTTGAATGATTGTAACATTGGCATGAATAATGATAAGCAGCAGTTAATGCAGTATGGTTGCTGTAAATGTTAGATTCACTCTACTTGACTACGACGTGAACTTGCAATCTTTACAGGCCATAACATCACATGGTCCGGTGAGGAAATGCTAACAAAGGGACCAGACTTTGACAAAGCCCGAGTTTATGTTGCCGTAGGTTTAATAATTCTAGATATGAAGATGACACGAGGAGACGACACGAACTTATCGAGAGAAACTTAAACTCGATTTTGACACGATTCTTTTTAAGTCGAAATTGGTAGGGAAATGTACCAAAAAAAGTTTTAAACATATTGTATTAATATCATTAAGTTATAAATCTTTGAATTGAATTTAAGTTTTTCACATTGACATAAATATTTGAATTGGAATTATTACCAATCCAATCCTAAGTGGCACGATCAATAATGACGTGAACAATTCTTTTATAATTTTTAATAAATTTGTGAATTTTTTATTAATTTTAAAAAATTCTTTTTTTCCCTTCCTTTGGCCAATTTAGGCGCCCGCCGACCAATTTAGGCGCCTAAGATATTAAGATGAACCTTACTTGTAGCGGCCTATCCATCTTACGACCAAAGACAACCAACAAAGAAAAAAGAAGATATAAATCGATAAAATGCAATTTATTAAAAATTTTAATTTTTTAATAAATTTGTGAATTTTTTATATTAATTTTTAAACTTTTTCTTCTTTTTTTTTTTTTTTTCCCTTTGTCTTCCTTTGGCTTGTGGCCGGTGAGGACTCGACCCTCCTCCATCCTCCGTCATCCGCAAACTAGCCTCAAAGCACCGATCCTAGGTCCCATTCTCACGGAAATAATAAAAAATTAATTAAATTATAAAAAATTAAAAATTCCAAAATTCATAAAAATCAGAAAATTCTCAGAAAATCCATAAAAATTAGAAAAACTCGGAAAACCCATAAAAATTTGCAAAATTCCAAAATTGAAAAAATTAAAAAATTCATAAAAAGCTTTACGGAAAATAAAAAGAGACAAATTTGGGAAAGTAAAAAGTTTTAATAAACTTTTCCCAAAAAAAACAAAAATAAAAATTCACATATAGCTTAGAATAAATTAAAAAATTTCAAAAATTCATAAAAATTAGAAAAATTTCAGAAAAATCCCATAAAAATTAGAAAATTAAAAAATTCCGAAAATTCATATAAATCAGAAAAATTCTCAGAAAATCCATAAAAATCAGAAAAACTCAGAAAACCCTTAAATATTTGCAAAATTTTGAAATTGAAAAATTAAAAATTCCATAAAAATTTTCGAAAAATAAAAGAAACAGATTTAGGGAAAGTAAAAATTTGAATAAATTTTACCCCAAAAAATATAAAAAATTCACATAATGGCTTAGATATTTGAGCCACTCACTTTGAGTGAAATTTAAATTTTTGAGGTGCTAAATGGTATTTTTGAAGATTCCTTAGTTTAGGGATTAAAAGGGGTTTTAAACCCCTAAAAGGATTAGACAAACCAATAAATCATGCTTATTGGTTTTTTCACTATAACTTGTACTTATAGTTAAATAAAAGATATAGATTTGAATGTAAAAAATTGGGAATAGAAATTTTTGCATTCAAAACGTTTCATTCTTTTCTATTCATGAAATATAAATTTTGTGCATTCTAAAACATTTCATTCAGAAATAAAATTTTGTCGATTGCATTTATTTTTCTCATTGGTATTCATTCCTAATGAAAAACACTCATTGGTATTCATTCCTAATGAAAAACACTTGTTGGATTCATTTTTGCGCTGCCGCAATGCCGATGGACATGCCAACTGGGCCATCAAAAGACCGATACTCTGCAATTTCCCACCATCTTCACTTGTTTATCTCTCCCTCCCTCCTCTCTCTCTCCCGCCTCGTCGTAGGAGCAAGCCATTCCAGCACAACCGAGCTCCGTTGAAGACTCTAATAAGCTGCGCTCCTGGAAATGGTTCGTAAACGGTTCCATGAAGCCAAAACAGGTGAGCTCACAAAAATTCGATTCCTTTATCGCGAGATTCAGAGCAGATTCCGGTCTGATTTGAGCGTCTTCCTTCCGCGCGCACACCACGCGCCCCATAGATGTTCGAGGAAATGCTCGAATGAGTCTATTTTGTTTGGACAATCGATATTTACAAACTTCTTGCTTTCCGACGTGACCATACGATTGATTGTCCAGGGCTTCAGTACATCAAATATCTCGATGCCGAGAAGGTGCTGAGCAAAATAGGAATGGGCAAAGAAGACCGCTACTTCTGGAAGCAGATAGGCAAGGGGTTGCTAGCCACATCCTCTCTCATGGGCGCCGCGTGGCTCTACAACGAAACCTCGCCCCTAGGGTGGTGGACGCTGAAGCCTCGGCCAAAGGAAGAGAAAGAGCTCGCGCACTTGTACGAGCGGCGGCAGTTTCCGTACCCGGGCGACAAAGAAGCCATGGAAGAGTTCATTGCCAAGGGGGGCATGATCGGCACAACCATCGGGCCCAAGGGGGTTGTTGAAACCGATAAAGATGCTTACAACTACCAGAAGGAGTTGCAGAACAAGAAGTTCGAGCAAGAAGCTCAGAAGCTGTGGCTTCGGATGAGGAATGAGGTTATTGCGGACCTGCAAGAAAAAGGGTACGATATTGAGTGAACTAGGAGTATTTCAGAACATGTTATGAAGTAAAAAGGCACTATATGAGCAAATTGGGAGTGTTGAATTTGCTGACAAAGTTTGAGCACAATGTGGTTGGCCTCTTATCTGGCTTTTCACATTTTTCGCTTTGTTTGAAACCCCTCGCTCTCAATAAAATTTCGTCGGTGTCATTTGGATCCTGATTTATCGGGCTACAGCCTTGCCGACTGCATGTCGGATCCTGGGAGAGGATTGAGGAAGCTTTCGTAAAATTAAACAAATAAAAAGAGACTAGTGAACCCTGAGGAGGCAATAGTGAATCAGTGAACATCCACAGAAGCGAGTCTCCTTCTGACCCATTACGGGAGAGCGGAGACCCTTCAGCATGCAGCTCCCAGAGATCGTCTTGAGCCTGAGTTGATATCTCGATCGACTCGCTGTCTTTTGGTTGACCTTTTCTACCTCTTATTTTGAAACATGACTAGCTTACAAGATGGGCTTCAGCCAGTAGCCAGTATGTTGAGCTTCAACCCTGCAGATTTATACAATTATAGCGTAGACTTGCACACTTAATAAAAGAAAACATCCCCAGTCTCGGGCTAGAGACCTCCGTAGGAGAACAATGTTCCACTTTTTCGAAGTCGATTTTCCTCTTGATTCAGCCTCGGTGTTTGCTCCTGCCAAACGCTGCATTTGTAATCTCGTCTTTGCTTTCAGTAGGACTTAATGTACTTCATCAAAGTGCGATTGTGTCCCTTTTCTCGTGCCCTCCACCCACTTTTGAACCTTATTATAGGTACCTAGCATGCGATCACGGTCCTTTTCGTCAAGCACCTTAAGTAGAAAAACAGCACTGTTAACTTCCTTAACAACCTCATGTCCTTTGGGCAACTGCGCCTACCAAAGCCTCACACAACCCATCTGGTACCGTTCAAATTTTTCTTGAGGAGGAACTATTTTCTGGAAAGCATAGCACAAAACTATTCTCTTACAAACTAGTTTTGCTAAGCTTTGATTGCTATATTTAATCTTTTAACAACTTAGCTTACATATAATTGAATGCATGTTCATATTCAACCTGAACTGATTAATTGTGTATTACCAAAAGAAAATGCAATTACAAGTTGGGCCCTAGCCCAATCCCACTTTCCTTCGATTCACAATATAACAATATTCCCACTCAATCAAATGGATTATTTCCCTAATACATAATAATTAAAGAGAGAACAAGGAGCTCCATTCTGGAATTTTGCTCTTGGGAAGAAATAGGCCATCGGTTATATGACAAGACTAAACCGATACATAATTCAAAAGATAGAATTAGGAAAAAAGCACAATATGCACTGAAGGCAAGCAGCTGCCTCCTTGTCAGCAAGCTAAAATTTTCAGTAAAGTGATGCAATAAATTCGTCCCTGATAACAAAGAAGGCACAATAACTTGTTTAGCTATATTAGCTTTTTTGGCCTTCATCTTCTAACATAATAAGGACCTTATACTGCCTTATTTTACCCTGTCATCACATATTGTCTCACTCCAGATTTTTTTCTTAGTAAGAAGAGTATTGCTTGGGGCAGAATTTACCTCTAATAGCATAATTTCACGTACTAAGCTGAGGTCAGCGATATATGGCTGAAAGCCACCTAACAAAAATGACCATTGCCGTAGAGCCAAATCGACTCTATCTTCAACAAATATGAGTACAGAAGTTTCTCACCCTCAGCAGCAGCAACTGGTTCAATGGGAGTCCAAGCGCGAGTACTATTTAGTACATAGGTAGCTGAAACAAACAGTAGATAGGTAATGTTCGATTGCAGTGTCTGAAGCAAGAATATATGTAAACTATAGAAACAGTTCTCCAAAGTCTGCACATCATGCAAAGAGTCACAACACAAGCAAAATAAAGTAAAAAATATTATATGTGAAATGTTCTATGCTTGATGGCTCTGCAAGGATCACAAAATTCAGAGGCATAATACTTCATCTCAGCTGTTTCGAAATCAGCCAATTGGATTTTCTGTCCTGAGAATATTTGGTTCAGCGAGAAGTTCGATAACCGACATTACATTTATGCGATATAACAAATTCAACAAACTATTAGAAAGCATTCATGTCAAGTGCCCTGGAGGCCAGAAAAGCTCGGACCACTGGTGCAAACCACAATATCGAACCAGACGGTTGTTTTCAACTGGTAGTGATTATCAGCAACTGTTAAATCCTGTTCTCAGCAAAAGGACAATGCTGTAGCTAATGCTTCATCAGCAAACGAACTATGAGATTTGTACTAAACATTGATTTTTTCTCTTTGAGACAATGAATTCCAGAGAACAAGAGAGACAATCAACTGCATATAATCAACTCAAGCTTTACATGTTTGAGAAAAAGTGCAGTTTGACACTGTTACAGTAACTGGTGACAGCTCCATAGGCCGGCAGACAGCCTACATCCTTTCTGATTTACTTCTAGAAGTCCTCAACGGAGCAAGATAGACGGGTTGCAGGCCATTGTCGATGTTATGCCCATATGATTGTGCACTCTTGCTCCTAGCAGTAACACTATTTCTCAGCTTAAGCCTCTGGCTAATATTACCAATTGGTTCATCTTCTTTGGCAACATCATTCTGCTCTTGCCGAGACTCAGTAACCACCAACTTGTTATCCAACTCTCCAGCAATGCAACTGATCCCTCTATCGACATCCGTTCTCTCGCCTCTAGAGTGCATCAAACTCCACGTATTCCAGGCCTTCCGCCAACCCAGCAACTGCAATTTCTTGCACCGTTTTTGGTCCTGCCTGCCAGCAAAAGGAGCAGCATTCTGAAAAGCGGAGTCAAGCGTTGCCAGATCATCTTGTTTGACTGACTTAAGCCTCCAATCCATTAACTCTTGCTCGGTGATCAGCAATTTTGTGCCATAGAACAATTCTGTTGCAGTGGGCGACGGTTTCAACCTCGGCAACAGCTTCACCTCATCGACATCAAATTCAGGATTGGCCCTCTTGTGTGAATTCGATCTTTCGAAGCTCCTCCTTCGCCTTTGCAATGCCGGTGGCTCCTTGTAGTAATACTTAGTCTGGAGACACCCACCTGGACTCTTGCCATTCTCATCTACACAGCTCGACTTCTCCTCAACCGACACCCCATCCTCATGTTGATCATCAACCAACTGCACATCATTAACTGCAGAAACCACTGGATTCAGATGCTGATACATGGAACTCCTACCAATCATATGGCCATCCAGAGAAGCCCTAGGCACATCGTAAGAAATCTTACAACCATTAACCCGTTTCGAATCAAAAGATCTCCTCCCAATTCCACATTCTCCAACCTCAGTTCTCAATTCTCCTAATCCCCCCAGATTGACCTTATCCTTATCTACACCTTCCTCTCCAATTGCCACATTGCTGCCATTGACAAGTCCTACTGGACCTGCATTCGCTATCTTCTCCTTCCTTCTCCATTTCCTCAATTTGCCGGTCAAAACCGCAGCGACCCCCCAAAACCCTCTCAAATTATTGTCCCTGCGCTTCTTCCTCTCCCACTCGAGATCTATGAACTCCCTCACCGTCCTTAACTCAGCTCCTCCTTCGAATTCATCGCGGACTCCTCCACTATCGACCTCCTCGTTCTGCTCAACATCGCTATCGCAGATCCGAATCTCTATTTCTTCGTTCACTTCCCCGAACCCAGAACTCCCATGCCGACCGCTCGGTCCATCGTCTAGATTGAAGAGGCCGATCAGGCTGGTCCCGGCGACCACTTCGCACGATCTACGCCGCGGTTCGGCCGAGCTGCCCGCGGCGGCGCCGCGACCGAACTCCCGGTGAGATATGCTGCGGTGCAGATTGTCGGCTACAGAGCGAGGGATCGAACGATTGGAGTTGCCGCGGCAGCTGGCGGTGTCGAAGCCGGCGAGGCGCTCCCGGAGGCACGAGGCGCAGAGGCCGGCGGCCGACCTGGCCGTACGGCGGTGGCGGCACGGGGAAGGACGGTGGCGGGAATAGAGGGTCGTTGACGGTGATGGAGGCGATAGCGTTTGCATGGCGATTTGAGCGAAGAGCGAGTGAGCGTGTGAGGGGAGAGAGGAGCAGCAGCGAAGTGCAAGTGACACTGGGAGACAGGCTCGGGTGGGAAAGCTGTGGCAGTTGACGTTGATCCCCGCCCTAAGAAAAATCAATTAAAAAAATTAAATTGAAACGGAAAAACCCAATATAAACCCCCTCTAACTCTCAAATTATTGCTAAAAATTGATTTTATTTTTAGCAATGAATTTGAAAATGATCATTCTAATTTCTTATTTTTCCTGAGAAAATTCCATTTTCATCTTGGGTTACCGCAATGGTACAAGTACACCTGTATTTTTCTTCCAGGAAGAGAATTGGAATACCTTTTTATTTATACATCCCGAAGTCCGAACGAAACTCTCAATTTACCGGTAAACTGCTTTAATTCTAAGATCTTTTTATGTTTGTACTTGTACCATTGCGATATCCCGAGATGAAAATGAATTTTTCTCAGGAAAAATAAGAAATTATAATGATTATTTTCAAATTCATTCGTAGAAATAAATCAATTTTTAACTTTTGATGGTTTGGATGTGGCAATACTTAATGCTACATTACTTTCATAAAAGTTGTTATTGATTGGTCAACTATGGAATTTCCGGATAAGTAATGTTCTAAAAATATTATCAAGTTATTTTGTACTCCGGTAGATAGAGAACCGTTCACACTATTAACATATTAAACTCAAGATTGATAAATATCTAGGAAATCAATTGTCTGACATTATGCTAGATTGGTCAATAAAGAGAAGACAAGATCTTCTTTTAGGCACAAGAGAAAAATTGCATCCATGATTATAAGATTAAACGATTGCAGTTTAGGCGCCCTCGAAATTCGGATTTTAATCCTTCTAAATTAAGGCTCTGGTTGTTTCATGAAAAATAACTTTCAAAATTTTTTTTTTTCGGATTTTTCGGCGTTTGGTTCATAAAAAATAAACTAGTCAAAGAAAACATTTTTGATCAATGAAAAAAACACTTTCAAAAAATCTTTTTCCCACGAGATAATTCTCTCTTCTCTCTCTATCGCCACCATCTTCGCCTTCTCCCGCCAACAACCCACCCCCTGTAGTCCCGCCACCCCCATGAGCTTCGATCCTTTAGAAATGACTCCGTCACCATCTTCGGGGCTTCGTCTTACCAAAACTTAAAGATTCTGTGCCAAATCTACAAACTAAAAGCCCAAGGTCGCATCCATTAAAATATTCTCTCTCCCCTATGTGGCATTACCTGACTGAAACACAGTATATAAAACTAAAGCGACGTCTTTGTAATTCACTCATTGCTTGCAACCGTATCGTAGGCTTTAACTGGCTACATTATACTCTTTGCAAATCTCCAATCAATCACAGAATTCGATATTCACTTTTCTGCAATTTAAATGGCAAGCAGCGATTGCTTCCAATCTTCGTACCTTTAAATTTCTTGTCGTTTACTTTCCTATCCAAAATCAATAAGGACCCTTCGTAACCTTTGCCGATTCACTCGTCGATTCGTATATATTCGAAAGGTATTTCATCGGCAATTCAATTTCGAAAAAACATTTTTTTGATATATTGAAAGGTGTTTCATCGTCAACTCAATTCCAGTGAAACCATTTTTTTGGCGCCCGGTGGGATGCATTTTGTTGATTTGAGTGTACTACAATGGCAAGAACTAGAAACAAGAGTCAGATAATGTTGCTGGCAACAATAACCCAATCATAAACTGGTGACGAAGTTGCTGCGCACTCCAAATCTTCAACCGTTAACTGAGCGGTAGAAGTAAGGGGGCAAACCTTCCACAACATGTCTCTAAAGAACAATAGAGAGATGTTATGCCAAATCCTCGTATGTTGGCCACTATGAAAGGTTATTTGAAGAGTAGCGAAAAAATATGACCAACTATATTATGATTCACATGTCAGACGTAATCAAACCGATCGTCATTAATGCTGAGAATGATGCTCTCTTGATACTAGGATCTTCCAATCAACCGCCACTAGTCAATACAATGGTAACGGATTTATTGATATTAATAATGTTGGTCAAAACAACCAAATATGTGATAATAATTTGGTAAATCAAATATTCCTATTGGGCTTAACATACATATTAACGTAGATAATTTGGCAAGACTACTAGCAGTACTGCGTAAGGCGCAATATGGCCAACCGAATCCACAATTGCACCTAGTAGAGTTGTCAAAGAAGTTCAACAGCAATTAGGGTTAGACAGGAGTATTATCATATCTGTTTATAAGAAACCACATCACAAATGGGACGATACTAAGCCTTTTTCAAGAGGCTTGAAAACCACCGACTTTGCCATTTTTATTGGCAAAGATGAACAATCGACTATCGAATACATTGGTTGACTTGATAACTTAGTGTGGGGAAGCAAGGACAAATGACTTTTTAATGCTTAAGTTATTTCCTTTATATTTGTCAAAAACTACTTTCATTTGGTACACTAACTTGCCAACCAATTCGGTTGGAATCTGGGCTAAAATGGAAAGACAATTCCATTCTCAATTCTATAGAATGATACTTGAGGTATTGACTGCTGATTTGCTTAGGCTCTATCAATATAGCAATGAGTCACTTGGTCAGTTTGTTGGTCGATTTAAGAATGCTATAAATGGATGTCTTACTTTACTCTCAGGAAAACAGTTCACTAATCAATGGGTTGAAATTTAATCTTACAGAAAACTTCGAATTCCAAGATTTGCCGATTTTTTTCAATTCACAACGAGAGTGTCTAAGTATGGTAACTACTTATAAGACAGAGCATAGAGGCCCACATGAAGACTTTTCACAAAACATAGTTTTAATGGAGACATGAGTCAAATGATGAATTTGACTAAGATAAAATTTGGCAAGAAAAAATCGAATTTTTTTGTGACAATGTGGCATATGATGACTCTTGATTATCTAATTTAAAAGAATCGAATGAGTGATAAATTATTCAATTCTTTTAAAAATGGCATATGTTGATACCAAAATATGACTAACTTTTGGTGAAAATAAACAAGTGACAGATTTAGTCGATATTAGCGGACTTTAATGAATAACAAAAGTCATCGATGAAATAAACGGTTGCCAACTTGAAGAGCATTGACAACTTGCCAATGGAGTCATTTACAGCAAACATAAGTTATTTGGTGATCATATTCAACATATAACTATCGAGTAGCGATAGTTTCGGATTTATAACTTTCTTATGGATAAGTGTTGTTGTAACTTTTTATAATCGCGTATAGGATTATGAAGTTATTTGTTTTGAAGATAGGATTAGCAAGTTATCCTTTTATATTCAATAACTGTTTATAACCGATTGTAGGTTTTATATAGCCACATCGTACTTTTCGTAAACCCACAATCAATCATACAACTCGACTTTCTTTGTGAATTTATCATTATCTTTACTTTTCCACACTTTAAATGGTTGGCCGTGACCGCCTCTAGTTTTTGTATCATTGAATTTCTTGCTATTTACCTTTCTATCCAAAATAAACAAATGACCCTTTGCAACCTTTGTCGATTCACTCGTCGATCCACATATATTGGAAAGGTATTTCGTCGTCGATTCAATTCTAGCGAAACAGATACTTAACAAAATATATCATCTATCCAACAAATCCCCTTTCATAATTTTAATAAGAAGGATCGCATTAGTTGATACTGTTTTAGTTTGTGGATCATATTTGTAAAAGTAAAAGCTTGGGGATCGTTTAGTAAAAGTTCAGACATTAACGGTGTCATTATGCCAAAAGCATATGCTTTTCATAATATGTAGAGTATAGACTACTAAATGCAGCCTTTCTAGCTCACTCATAAAGGTGAAAAATCACATATTGACCCCGACTCGAAAGAGAAAAAAAGGAGAAAAGGAAACTCAGGTAATTGCAATCAGGAAACCGATTGGTCAAATATTACTTTTAGATTCACAAGTCAATTTCAGTCGTGCAGCTGGATGAATCGCTTCAATCCAAGTCCAGCTTCTTTGCTTCTAAGCAATTGAATTCGAAATATGTGGACCCAGACAAACTATTTGCGCCACAGAGGCAACGAGACAAGACATACGGTGAAATTGAGAATTTTCAGAAATATGGAAAGCTTATGTAACTGATTTTTCTCTACCGTTCACGTCAGTATCCGATGCAAAAAGGAGGACCCAATTTGTCCTAGTTCAGACTTGATGGGTGCCGAATAGGAACAAGCGATGAAATGAGTGTTTTCCCCCCAAAATTGAATGATGGAACTAGAGTAGGGGGGCGATCAATTCAACTACCTAAAGTCGTCGCGCAATCTCCTCTTATCAAGAATTATACAATTTGAGCCACAATTACTTACTATCATTGTTGATTAGAAAAGTTCGAGATTAATAAGTCCGTCGCTACATCCCACCATCGGGACACCAGACTCAGAAGTCCATCTTCATTCGTCCAGAATGGTAATGCAATAAAAGCAGCATTAGGCCTCATTACCTTAATGGGTTTTCCTGGCCTGCTAGGGATCGATTCTCTGTCATGTACGGTCGTAGACTCGTATTCGTGTGTTTTTTTATCTTCTGATGTGGTATACCGATGAATGCGTCACGCGGTTCCCGTCTCGTCCCAACCTCCCTCGAAGCAAAATATCACCCGGAAAATTAAAAATAGGAAAAAATCTTAATCGAAAGCGTTCGAAGGAATCAAAATATCCAATCCCGATGCCGAGCTCGCAAGTGCCAATGTGACAATGTCCACCGCCCCGCTCCCTCCCTCCCACACTTTCCCACACCCCCAGTCACGTGAACCCCATTCGTCTCCTCGTTCACTTTCGAAGCTCAAGCTTTAGAACTCACTCGGTCTCTCTGGTATTTTTCGCTCCAAATCATCTCATCATCTTCTCTCTCTCTCCCTCTGCAACTTCTCCATCGCCTTTGGCTTTTTTTTTTTCCCAAAGAAGCTCCAGTTACGTCCCTCTCATCAGCCTCGCCCATCCTTTGTCCCTTCTCGCTTTTCCCTTAATATCAACCCCCATACTCTCTCTCGCTCGCTCGCTCCCTCGCTCGCTGCTCGAGAAAGTATCTCCTTCTCTCTCTCTTTGCGATTTTTTCCTGCTTTAAGGTAGCCAGACCCGTCTCGGACTTTTGCCATTCGTCCGAGCTCCTCGCTTTGGTTATCTCTGCCTTCTCTCTCTGTTTTCGCTCGGTGCGCGGTCGCACATTCGAAGGTGACTCGCCTCGCCTGAGCTCTTCGGCACCGTCGTTCGGCGAAGCCGTCGCATGCGTATTCCTGCGTTGTGTTCTATCGAACTTGACTTCCGGCTCGCCGTCGAATCGACTCGTCGGCGTCTTTCGAAACTTTTGATTCGGAACCGGCGGAGATATCGGCACCGGAGGTGTCTCCGGCGATCAATCTTCGCTCGTTTAGCCGCTTGCGGCATTGTTTCGTTATTCTTCTTTACAGTTAGGTCGGCTGATCGGGGATTGGAGCTCATTCCCTTTTTCAAAATGTAGAGAACCAATCAGCATGATTTGTTCCTCGTTTTTCAAAATTAAAGTTATTCGGTGAAGCTTTTTTCGGAAGATTTCGCTGTGTAAAGTTACTCGGTTCCGAGATGATATTCGTTAGCAAGTTTAGGGAGCACCGATTCCAAGATGGAAGTATGCTGATGCTTTAATCTTTTTCTAATCTCTTTGCAGCACAGAGAGAGTAAGGAAGGACTCGGTATGGCAGCCGCTACAGAGACTAATGGAGCGACGGCGTATGGCGTTTCTGCTAAAGTACCTGCATCTGCGTGTCCATTGGCCGACGAGCCGGCTGATATAGCGTCGAATATCAATTACCATGCTAAGTATAGCCCCCATTTTTCTCCTTTCAAGTTCGAGCCAGAGCAAGCATACTGCGCAACAGCTGAAAGCGTCCGCGATCGCCTCATCCAAGTTTGTACCCTTGATGACTTTCCGTTAATTACTCTGTTCCGGAACATTTTTACAAAGGAAAGCGAAAGCTCTTATTTTCACTCCAGTTTGGCTGCTTGGGATTGTGCTTATTTCGCGGTTCGTAATTACTTGTAGACTCGTAGGCGAAACTAAACGCTAAGTAAAAATTCCTGCTGATTTTAAGCACGACTGTTTGTGCTGATGTTTAGATGTTCAGATGTCTATTACATTCTTTATCGAATAATTGTCACATTCTGCTTAATTTGGTATTCCTCAGCAATGGAACGAGACCTACTTTCACTATCACAAAACTGATCCAAAACAAATATATTACCTGTCAATGGAATATCTTCAAGGAAGGGCATTAACTAATGCGATTGGGAATCTCGACATCCAAGATGCATATGGTGATGCCTTGAAAAAGTTGGGACATGATCTAGAGGAGATTGTTGAGCAGGTAATTGATTTTGCTTTGAGTTGCCTCATGTCTTCGAGTACTGTTTTTGAGGATTCCAGTTGATGTAACTATCCTCTTTGGCGTCAGAGCTTTGTCGCTTGAGATTGAACTCTGATCCTTTAAAAGAAATATTGTACATGGCAACCTCTACAGCTTACTTGACTGTTTATATAGCAGATTGATCTTGATCAGATCATAATTATTTAACCTCAATAAATAATCAAATACAATTTCTTTAAGGTGATTGTATTTGACTCGAAGATTATTGTTTTCGATCTGACATTTTGCCCTTTCCTTTGAATTGGATTGTGGATTGTGGCCTATGTAAGCTGGGTCTTTTCATGGGTATCTATGCTCTTGCAAAAGAGAGCTTTCTAATGAACCTGTTTTTAGGAAAAAGATGCTGCACTTGGCAATGGTGGCCTGGGGAGGCTTGCTTCCTGCTTCCTGGATTCTATGGCAACATTGAATCTCCCTGCATGGGGATATGGTTTGCGATACAGATATGGCTTATTCAAGCAGCTGATTACTAAGGACGGACAAGAAGAAATTGCTGAGGATTGGCTGGAGGTTCTTTTTTGTGCAGTCGATAAATTTTTTAATATTGTTTGTTCCATGGAATTTCGTTGAGATCTGTTTTTGCAAATTACTGCAGAAGTTCAGTCCTTGGGAAATTGTTAGGCATGATGTGGTTTTCCCTGTAAGATTTTTTGGCCAAGTGGAGGTTAATCCAAATGGATTGTAAGTGTAACTTCTTGACTTCATTTTGGGGTTGATTGAGGCATGCATGACAATTTCTTTGATGTACCTGCAAGTAGCGATGGCAATATAAATTCATAAGCAAGTTAGAGGTTCCTAAAGCATTCACTTAGTATATGTGCATTGCAGCCGAAAATGGGTGGGTGGAGAAGTTATACAGGCTCTAGCATATGATGTCCCAATTCCCGGCTACAAGACCAAGAACACTAATAGTCTTCGCCTCTGGGAAGCAAAAGCCTCTTCTGCGGATTTCAACCTATTCCAATTCAATGATGGACAGTATGAATCCTCTGGACAGTTGCACTCTCGAGCAGGACAAGTGAGTGACGTTTCGAAAGTGTTAGTCTTGTTTCATTATGCAAAAAGCACCTCTCTTTGATTTGGTATAATTTATATGCATTGGCACAAGATTCTACCATCTCTATTTCCCTATTGGGATTATTTTATTAAAGATTCTGTCCTATAAGATGCTGTAAGCAGTTCACAATTCTAAAGCTATGGATATGAACAATCTTTTTGCAGATTTGTGCTGTTTTATATCCTGGAGATGCAACAGAGAGTGGAAAGCTTTTGCGGCTGAAGCAACAATTCTTTCTCTGTAGTGCATCACTGCAGGTTTTCTTTCTTCTTTCTTCTCCTTTTTTGTAGATTGAATTATTATTTGTGGCTGCACTTTCTAACCATATGATAAATCCAAACCTACATTCTTCTGTTCAACAAATGTTCTAGCTTGATTAGTAACAGTATATTTATGTGGTGGTAGAGTTTCATTTTTCTTCTGATGGTATTGGCCTTTGGAGGAAGAGCCAAAGACAAGTTGATCCAGCTGGTAATTCAATCTTTTAGGTTGTGAGGACAGCTATCTCCTAGACTAATATATAAACATGCACAACTTTTCAAAAGTACCAGAATTACTTTTACAGTGACAATCCTGATCGATTGACGTAGGATTCTGACTTTTCTGACTCTCTTGTCTATCTTTTATTAAGAAAATTAGACCTCTACGTGCCATTTACGTTAGATTGGGCTGGTGCCACCCATTACAAATTTTCAAATGATAAATACTTCCCTCTTTAAAAAGATGCAATAACCTTTCTTTTTTTTGACAATTGACTAACTACATTTAGATAGTGGAGAGTAGTGGAGACTGCAGGGTGGTGGTTAAGTGGTGGTTTTCACTTTTAAGAGTTAAATGAAGAAAATAGCCCTTGGATTCATTTAAAATTAATTCAAGTTACTATCGTAACTTGGTTTTGAGGTAATTTAGGTTGAGAGACCGAAAGAATGAATCTCTCCCTTAAAGAATAGTACGTATATTGATGTTAGCGATTAGGCTGGAAAAGTTTTCAACCTTTAGTTCTCATATTTTTCATTCTGGTAATGGTTTGTTATATATCTTCTTTTGTCATGTTCATATTTAAAAAAAAATGCTCGATATCTGTTTCATCAAGGGTGCAGAATTATGTAATTCGGTGTTTTTCCTACATCATTTTCACCTTGTAAATTACTAGTATTGAGTCTGGCCAAAAAAAGAAATTACTAATGTTCAGCATACACCATGCGCATGTGCCAATTTAAATAGATATGTCAAAAAGTAGATCGTGAGTTAATTCAAAAAAGGAAAACGATTGTTGTTTTTGAGTGGATGCATGGGTGGGAATAATTATTATTTCAGTGGAGAAAGTGGGTGTGTGGGTGGTGGATGGGTTTATTTGTTAACTTTTGCTTATTATTTTACGAAGGGTTAAGAAGTCAGACAGAAAGAAGCTTTCCAGTAATAAATTAGATATTAGATGTTAGAAAGTCCACCCCAAAAGCTTAAGCTGATCGGTGGAGGAGACCACATGGATATAAAGAGCATTTGTCAATCGATGTGAGATAATACTTCAATATCCCCACTCACGTGCAAGCCGGATTACGGGCGGCACATGAAATGGGATATTTACTGGCTCTGATACCATGTTAGAAAGTTCAACCCAAAAGTTTAAGCTGATAGGTGGAGGAGACCACATGAATATATAGAGCATTTAGCACCCGTTATCAATCTATGTGGGATAATACTTCAACATTAGATGATTGTATTGGTTTGCTGTTTTAATTTTCTTCTAGTGGGGATCATCTTAATGCCAAGTCCACTTTCTTTAATTTCAAAGTTCTTTCTTTTAATACCAGTCACTTGCAGGATATAATCTTCAGGTTCAAGGAGAGGAAAGGTGGAAGAGGCTCATGGCAGTGGGCTGACTTCCCAACCAAAGTTGCAGTACAGCTGAATGACACTCATCCCACTCTTGCGATTCCAGAGTTAATGCGTCTGTTAATGGATGATGAAGGACTTGGGTGGGATGAGGCATGGGATATTACGACAAGGTGAAGCATAACTTTACTTTGTACTGCCAATGATTTGCATTATGAGTCTATTGCACCATGTTCTGGTAATTTTAGCTCTGCAACATCTAGTTTTTTCTCCATTTTTTTTGTTTTATGACCAACTCACATATGGAAAATATTGTTATTGGTGCAGGACAATTGCCTATACTAATCACACAGTCCTTCCTGAAGCTCTTGAGAAGTGGTCACAAGCTGTAATGTGGAAGCTTCTTCCTCGACATATGGAGATCATTGATGAAATAGATAAGAGGGTATGCCTTATCTGTTTATTATGTTCCTGATATATGTGCACAGTACCTGAGATTGGATGATGACTATTTCCCAGTTCATGGAAATGGTGCGCACCCAACGAAAAGACCTTGAGAACAAGCTCTCCACCCTGCGAATCTTGGATAACAACCCCCAAAAGCCAGTTGTCAGGATGGCAAACTTATGTGTGGTATCTGGACACACGGTAAGAGCTCCATTAAGACTAGTCCTTTTAAAGCTCGCTTGATGAATACTACTCCCTTCCTAAAACCACCATTTTGTGAGCATCAGAAATATTTATTTGACTACTTATCCATGGGGTCAATGTGTTTAAGTCTACTTGTCACGTGGTCCATACAAGATTTCTCTTTAGAGGCTCCATCGGCCAAACAGGAATATTTCATATCCCATTTAGTGGCAGTTCCTTCCATTACTGTGTATCTGCTTTCATTAGAGGTCACAAGCTTTTGCATGCACTAAAAGAGGAGGAGCACATATGTCTATTGAGTATTTCCTTTCATATTAGATAGAAATCTTAAACAATTTGCTTTCTGATGAAAATAATCACCATAAGCTACAAGATGTGTTCTATTGTTTGATTAGATTGCCCTGAAAGCTATGGCTTTTACTGCTCTTCATATTTATTATCAGTGAGATACCTGTTGTATTTTCATCTTCCATGTAACCTTATGCCTTTTTTTGTAAGATTTGGCGATTTTCCCCTTGTGTATGTTATGTTTCCCATGCAGAGATTTGAACTGATTCTTGTAAGATGATGAACTTAATGTAAGTGTGACGTTTCTGTAGGTTAATGGAGTTGCTCAATTACACAGTGACATCTTGAAGTCCGAGTTATTCGCAGACTATGTTTCCATCTGGCCATCCAAGTTCCAGAATAAGACTAACGGTATTACTCCTCGACGGTGGCTTCGATTTTGCAGTCCAGAACTCAGTGGCATTATCACCAAATGGTTAAAAACTGATCAGTGGGTGAAGAACTTAGACATCCTTGTTGGTCTTCGTCAAGTAGGTGCCACAGACTATATTTATATGACATAAGCTTAAATTCTCAAGGAGGCTAGCTTCTTTTGATTCTGTAGGAAGTTCCATCACTTATTCTTGCTGCGACAGTTTGCTGATAATGCAGATCTCCAAGATGAATGGGCATCTGCAAAAATGGCTAATAAGCAGCGGTTGGCACAGTACATATTGCGGGTGACGGGTGTCAGTATTGACCCAAACAGTCTATTTGACATTCAAGTGAAGCGCATTCATGAATACAAGAGACAATTGCTGAATATTCTGGGTGTGATCTATAGGTATAAGAAACTTAAGGTAAGGAGCAGACTCCATCTCTTCTTACTTTCATATTGTGAACAGGGAGTACTTATCTTTTTTGTTTCTCTTTTGGAGTAAGATACAAGTGCAAGAAGAGTGCCAGAATGCAATTACTTTTTCGATCATTAGGCATGATGATGCATATCAAAGTGATGAAATTGAAGATTCCTTTCGTTGTCTGTCTTCTGCACCAATATCTTTTCCCCGTATCATACTGAGACTAAGTATCCAAGTGATGCGAAATTATATATTTTTTTTGCCTTGTTCAGTCAGATTCAACTTTGCTCCCTCTTTTTCTCTTAAACACCAAATTAATGAAAGATGAAGAAGTGTAATGCAATTTGTCGTATTTATTAATCCAAGATTCTTCTTAATTAACTTTTGTTACTCTATGCAGATTAATTACTTATATATTACTTTTTGTCATCTTATGCATTTTCTGATTTCACAGAGTAGAGGCTTCTGTATTAAACAGACATATATTACTTTTTTGGATTATTATATGGCTATTTCCTGCAATTATTATGGATTATGAATTGCCGTGCATCAAAGAACTTCTTAATAAAAAACCATGCAGGAGATGAGTCCTGAAGAGAGGAAAAAGACAACTTCGCGGACAGTTATGATTGGTGGAAAGGCATTTGCAACATATACGAATGCTAAAAGAATAGTCAAGCTTGTGACTGATGTTGGTAATGTTGTCAACAGTGATCCTGAGGTCAATGACTACTTGAAGGTAATTCAAACTACCAAAACACAGAAACACGAAATTTTGGTTTTCCAGAAACAGTCATGAAGCTTGCACCGCTTTTTAGCATGCATGTTAAATATCAGAAATTAAATTCGTTATTTATGTTCCATTTATGTAATTTTTGCATATTGCAGGTTATATTTGTTCCAAACTACAATGTCTCAGTAGCAGAGATGCTTATTCCTGGAAGTGAGCTATCTCAACACATCAGCACTGCAGGAATGGAGGCAAGTGGCACAAGCAATATGAAATTCGCACTGAATGGCTGCCTCATTATAGGAACATTGGATGGGGCCAACGTGGAAATCAGGGAAGAAATTGGGGAACAGAATTTCTTCCTCTTTGGCGCAACAGCTGATGAGGTCCCTAGGCTACGGAAGGATAGGGAAAATGGACTGGTACGAAATATGAGTTTCCTAAAAGATGGCTGGTATAGCTTGAATGATAATAAATCTGCATTGATCTTACATGTAGATAGAAAAAACTAGGATTGTGAAGTGAGAATCAAATTCACAAGTTCTCAAATAAATTCAAATGCAAGTAGTAGCTGTTGCAACTAGCAAGACTGCATAGTTAAGGGGTTCTGCAATGATCTTGAATGAAAACAAATAGAAAAGGTTCTGCAATGGCGCCGACTGGTATATTGCTAGTTCAAGTTTTAACAGGGATCAATTGAGCGAAATTCATGGATGACTGAGTCCTCAAACTGCATTTAATGCAGCGACTCCCTTTTAAGTTTGTCCGATTTTGTGATTTTAGGGTCTTTTTTTTATGCTGATGATTTCTTCTTTCTACCAAAGATAAAAGTTGATCTGCATTTACTCGTCTTTTCTAAATCCACCTTTCCAGTCCTCGACGAAACGTGAGGCTTTTCTGCCACCTGAAAAACTGAGCTTGAAGATAAAACAATTACAGTACAATAGAAAGCAATGTCGTTAGGCAATATTTATGAAACACCATGCTAAAATTGCCTCTAAACAGTAGCATTTGCCCCTTTACCTCATTTTCGTACCAGCAGTTTTTCTTTGTCTGAGAGTTTCACACCATGCTGTTAAGGCAAAGCTTCTGTTGTTTTAATTTCTCCTTGCTTGCAGTTCAAACCAGATCCCCGCTTTGAAGAGGCTAAGCAATTTATAAGAAGCGGAGCATTTGGAAGCTATGACTACAATCCACTCCTTGATTCTCTGGAGGGAAACTCTGGATATGGTCGTGGAGATTATTTTCTTGTTGGCCATGACTTCGCCAGTTATATGGAAGCCCAAGCAAGAGTAGATGAGGCCTACAAGTAAGCCATCAGTACTCCATATACTTATGTTACGAATTACTTGTGCTTGAACATTTTTCTGCACCTGAAATGACTGCTTGAGCCCAATAAATACAAGTTGTCTAAGGAATCCATGTGTACCATGCCCCGAGACAATATAGTTACAATTAGAAATTGGTTTTTCAGCCAGAAAGTAGATAAGCCACCAGAAGGTGCTTCTTGTTAGGCCAAAACCAGAAGATGGATACCTAATCAATGAGCTATCGATTAAGTAGAATCGTCATCTGCGGCCACTTCAAATAGCTACCTTTGAGAGATGTTGAGTCTAAAAGAACCTCATTTAGTACCCTACTTTTTGATATGTTATGTATAATTTAGTCTTTTGGATCCCAAGTTGTGAAAATCACTTAAAATTTTGAAATTTACTAGCCAAATCATCGAGCTTTGTAACATCAGCGCCAAGCTATAGGAGCATTGTGATACTCAGCAGTGCCATCTCAGATCTCAGTAGTGTCGTTTCTCAAGCATCCTTTACTGGGTTATTAGTGTTAAAACATCTTCTCATTTCCATCGAAGCAATTGTAACAGAATCATTCGTATTGCAGGGACAGAAGAAGATGGCTAAAGATGTCTATTTTGAGCACTGCTGGAAGTGGCAAATTTAGCAGTGACCGAACAATTGCTCAGTACGCCAAAGATATCTGGAACGTAGAGGCGTGCTGTCTACCATGAAAAGCAATTTGAAACGAGACCTGCTTCTAGCTTCCCTCCCTCCCTCCTCTCTTCCTCTCGCTTTTATATTGCGATACAGGGACAACCATATGCAGTAATTTATGCTTGTACAACTAGATTCATTACGCAAATGTATTTCGCCTGACTGAGGATGAGAAATAAGCGTGGATGTAATAATATACAGTGTAACTTTCCTTTATACATTGATGTTTCTCTGTAGTAGCCGAATTCTTGCACTCAAAGATGGAACGGCGAGCTTCTTTAATGGAATTTATATCGAGCGTCGTAGGAAGAGGCAGATCACTAATCCGAATCCAAAGCAAAGCCCGACGCGTAAGTTAAAATAGCCGGTTTACTACGTTAAGTGGGAGTAGATATTGCCTTTTGAGTAGCTATAGCTCTCCGGAGAGTATTCTGGGATTAGGCAAACGTTGTTTTAGAAATGTGCCTTTTGATTCGTAGTGAATAACCGTGTCGCGTGGTCAGTGACCAATGCTGTTAAAAACTGTTTGGAGACCAGACATACACCAAGAAAAACTGTTAGCTGAAGGTACACGTGCCATCGACATGGTCTGTCAGCAGCTTGCACTCATGCACACGCTCCCGTATCCTCGTGCCTCTAAAGTGAGTCCTCCTGCTTTGCAAATATTACATGAATTAATTTAACAGGGAAGCCGACAAAAATAACATGACAGCACACGATATGACATATGACATTATTTATAACGTTAATTTTACTAAGGTAAATATGATTATAACTAGTTTTTCTTTTCTACACTAGCTTTTTCTTGGAATTTCATATTTCCTATCGTAAAACACGATATAATGCATCTAACGTGGCATGTTTCCGAGCTTGTAGTTTTATCTTATCGAGCGTGAATTTTGTAACTTTTAATTCGCATAAAATCTTTTCTTTGGGTAAGATTCGACGTCAAGCTTATCGTAATAAAGGTTTAATGAACTATTGCAAAAGCGGATTGAAACCTAAAGATGTCTTGCCTCGGTACAATACTTGTTCCATGAGCAAATTATAAAGTATCCTTGAATAATGAGTTAGCTTATGCAGTAAGTAATGCCTGATTTGGAATGCCGCGATTCGTTACCTATCCAGGCAAAAAGAGCCCATCACTCGTTAGCTTTTGGAGTCTTCTTCTCCCTCAGTGAGCTCTCTCGCTCGCTCCCGACACCGGCATTCTTCTCAGTTCGCTTCGCGCGAAAACTTAAAAACCCCTCTTCGAAAAAAATCAATGAGAACGGGCTCTCGCAGAACCAAGCCGAGAATCCCGAGGAACGAGTTGGAGAGCAGCAGCAGGGGCGGCGGCAGATGGATCCGATCGAGGCGGCGAACGGGTTCTCGTTCCGGGTCGGCTTCACCGGGCACGGCGGCCACCTCAGGGTCGAGCCTCTCTCGACCGTCGAGCGCGGCAACCCGCTCAAATCGGTCCCCGATTTCATCTCCGTCAGTTCTCCGCTTCCCTACTCCACCTTTCCGTCTCGAATTTCGGCACTCAATGCAGTAGTAGGATCAACTCGCTGATCCTAGTGCGCTGTCGTTTGTTCTTGTTTGAGGGTTCGGTGAGGACGCTGTGGTGGTGCGGGATGATCGCCTTGTTTATCTTGTCTCCGTGGCTCTGCGTTTGAGTTCTGACTGAGGTTTCGAACGAAATGAGTTCCGACTCTCTGCGTGTGTGCGCCTTCATTGTTCCAGCTAGAAAGGAACTGGAATTCTCAAGGAACGAAAGTCTATATTTCGAGTCTCGATCTTTCCATTCTTTGCAATCGCTTAGCATCGTGCAGGTAGAGGAGAAAGGTGAGATTTTGAGTAGGGTAGGATATGAAGAATCAGCAGGGGCTTCTTATGTTGGCTCTAGCCTCTTGTGGGTTGGCTTCTATATGAATTGGAATTGAGGAGTGTGTTTGGCTGTCAATCTTTGCGATTTTGTTGAATATTAATAAATACTGCATCCTGCGGATAATTCGTATCGAAGTGACCCGTTTTTTGTCTTTTGGGAGATTGAGGATGTCTTTTTCTGTTTGATTGCTGAGAACATACAGGCACAGGTGGCAACTACTAGAGTAGCGGGAATGGTTAGGATAGTCGAAAGCAAGAGTTTTTATGCAACATGAAGTTGGTTGAGCGAGGATTTTGTTTTCGGTAGTTAATTAATTAAGGAATCTCATATTTAGGAGCCAGTTGTTGATTTTTATCTTTTTTACGGCAACTTTGCCTTTTCGGGTTTATGTGTTTCCTTCTGAAGATAGAAAGTCAACACAATTAAAACATTCAATACAGTAGATGTTGAATTCTTGCAACTGTATCACGGGTTTTGGAAGCTGTTTAGTTTTCTGGAAGAATAGAAGGGCTGGGTTTGGCTCCATTCTTTTCCTTTTGCAGCACATGCTTGATTGTAATATGATCATTATTTTCTTATTTAATATGAGCCTCAATGCCTCATACTTAGAAGCACCATATTTACGTCCGTTCAGTAATTATTTCAGCCGCCTGCTTTTGCCGAGGAAACTCCTGAATCAATAACGGAGTATATAGAGGAGAACTACCTAATGCCCACACTTGATGTTGACGAATTTTCACCGGAAAAGGCTGGAAGGCATTGGGACTTTAACTGGTTTGATGAGGCAAAAGTACCATTAGAACCATCATTACCGAGATCTGTTGTGGTTCCTGTGTGGGAGTTGCCATTTAGGCGCCAAAAAAGCAAATCAGGAGTATGGGAGCCTAAATCTGTGGAGGTAGATTTTTCTTTTTCAAATCATATCTTTTTGGCATAAATTTTTTGTCTTTCTGATGTCAATGTTGTGGTTCACTGGGATTTGACAAACTTACGCCAACTGATACTCTAAAAAATAAGGCGGCAATTGTCCTGTGGAAGTAGAACTCATAGTTTTTCTATTACCCTTTTCTCCTTGTTATTTTCCCAACTTTACCTCTACCCGTGTGCTTTAGGTGGATGTATCGGAGATAATGGTGGATGCTCAAGATACTGGTTCATTGCCACGAATGGCTGGGCCCACAAAAGACTTTTTGCGTGGAAGCATCAACAAACGTCCCTTTCGTCCAGGTGGTCTGGATGACGCCCAATCTCCGGAGAGGATTGTACCTGATGGTGCTTCTAGTGGTGAATGGGTTTGTGAATTGTTGAATGGGGGTTCTCCACAGGTCACTCCTCCAAGCTTCAAGCAAGGTGTGGATCTTGGGGATCTCCAGGTAAGCTTAATTGATTATCATCTTTTAGATTGCATTAAGCAAAGTAAAGGTCAATGAGGTTTTTGAACGTACATTTATTTTATTCATCAACGTGTCTTCTTAGGCTTACCCATGCTCATGGAATGTGTCCAAGGACTGGAATTCTGTCAAGAGCTTGTCAGACAACAAGGTAGTATGTTTTTGCAGTTAATTAGATTTTAGTTATCATTTCATTGTATTGGATGCATTCTTGGCGCTTTTAATAGATTTTCAGAAATTCTGAATACCATAATTTTCTAGGGAAGACTTTGCTACTGCACTATGTAAACTTAACTTCGTCTGAATAGTTTGAGTCACGAGAGTTCTTGAAGACCTTTTTCAGTACTGAACTCTTAAGAACGTTCTGTGTGAGTAAGTTTTCATTTATCACCGGCACTGCAGGTGGAGCTCTCTGTACAGTTTGATGACTTGTTCAAGAGAGCTTGGGAAGAGGGAACTGTTGCAGATTACGAGACTGAAGGTTTTGTCCTCCTACGTTTACTTTTCTTTGGCTTAGTTTTTTTTCTTGTGCTATAGAGTTATAGGGCTTCAATGGAAAATGAAGCTTTAGCAGATTTCCACTGTGGAACTATATTTGTCTTTGCGAATGGTGGAGAATGTTATAGTTGCTTTGACTTGATGAGCTGCTTACCTTTTGATGTTTAATTGATATATGATCATTGTATGATCTGCCCAAACAATCGAACTGACTTGATCTAAGTGGACTGTTTAGTGGTCAATGTTCTTGGATTTTCTTCCTGTGAAACAATTAACGTTATTTATTACCTCCTAATCTAAGCCCGGTACATGGCTTATTGTGTTAAGCCTCCTTTTAAAGATGATAGAACTAAGTTGATGATGTATGCCTTTCCATCTATAGGGTTGGGGTGATGCTTTTAGAAGCTTGCATGGATGGCTGTTGACCTGCCCCTTTTTGTCTTGATGCTTAGTTTGAAAACTTCTAGGATGCTTGAGATCACCTAAGATATGTTATGCTTCCTTAAATTAAAATTCCACTTCAGGACCTGGGAAGCTCTAGCATGCCAATATTGCTGAGTTTACGCAGGGAATTGGCTTTTGGAAGCCTGTTTTCTTTTATTGGATTTCTTGTCAATTTTCCCCCATTTCATACTGCTAATAGTCATGATCATTATGTCTGTGAAGGTCATATATCAGAATCAGAGTCCCTTATCCCAGAAGCTGAATCTAGCAGGGTGGCAGAAGATGAACTACCCATGCTGGATGAAATTTTGTCTGTTGAGACAGGAATATCAACCTCTCAACCAGATGCAGTGAAGAACAACGATGGACAACAGCCGGAGGTGAATTATTCTTGAAGCTGAACTTAACAACTCTCTTACTTGCAATTAGCAATAGCTTTCTCGTTGTAGTCTGCATGTACCACTGCTTGGCAACGTGCCTGACGCGATCGTCTGAAATCATCTAAATTGGCAGGTCTGGGCTGTTAGAGCAGACAATGATGGGATTGCTGATCGCTTTCATGAACTTGTACCCGACATGGCACTTGATTTTCCATTTGAGTTGGATAAGTTCCAAAAGGAGGTACAAGCGAACTTACATATATTTTGATAATGAGGGAAGGAACTGACCATGATATAAACACATCCAAATATCTCTGTCTCGCTGATCATGTTCCTTTCATCTATTTCAATTTTGTAGGTGCGGCTCTGAACACTCAGTTTGATTGAATCCGATTGTGATTCTGTGCATTCATTATATCCGTTATGATGTCTCTTTATTACAATCCCTCCTTTCAAATGAGTGCTCCCTGCTGTTTGTTATAATTAAGTGGTTTGGTTAAAGAGTACTCTTAGGGCACTTGTCAAGTAACCAAACAAAAAAGGTCATAGCTGTTGATGCACTGGCTTTTCTCATGATACACATAATTGATATTTTTGGAAAGCAAATCGTTCCTTAATAATTATTCTAGCAGCGTCGGTGGGGCTCTAGTTAAAAT